AGAAAATAATATTTGCCTTTCTATTGCTTTTCACTCATTAAGTCCAAATGGATGTGGTTCTTTATTTTATATATATATATTTTTGATATTGATTTGCATTTATTTTATAGAACATAGAACTCAACAGAGCCACTTCCCAGCAGTTTTTCAATGACAACCCAATGAACTGTGACCATCAATTACCTTACTCAAATGGAAGATGGATAGACTATTTTTCTTTTCGGACTTCAAAGCAATGTATATTTGGCAGGGAATAGAATTCACCCTTAAAACAATCCATTTTTCAGGGGCAACACATTTTGTATTAATTCCAATTTGTAAATGTCTTCCAGTTCAAAGGAAAATGTAAGGAAAGTCTTTGGGAGATGTTTTGAAGTTTAATTAAAATTCAGTTTGAAAACATATCCCTTATGCATTGCACTTGTAAATATGGGCATGTCAGAAACTTACACAGAGATGTGAATGTTCTCATCCTGATCTTGGGTAGCTCTTTATATTTTTATTAGTGCATATTATACAGAATGGTGGGTTTCATTGTGATATTTGTATATGCTTATAACATTCCCCTGATCCTCTCCTCTTTTCTAATAGTCTTCCTTCTACTTTTAGGTCATTTTATTCCCTCTCCATTAGATTCCACAAATGAGAGAATACATGTGATACTTGTCTTTCTGAGTCTGGTTTATTTTCTTACCATGATGATCTCCAGTGACATCCATTTTCCTGCTAATTATATGACTTCATTCTTCATGGCTGAATAATATTTCATTGTGTAGATAGGCCACATTTAAAAATATAATTCACAGACACTTAAGGTCATTTTGAATCTTGGCTGTTGTGAATTGTTCTGTATAATAAACATGTGTGTGCAATATCTTCATAGGTGCTGACTTTAATTCTGTTTGGTGTATACTGTGGAGTGGTATAGCTAGGTCATATGGTAGTTCTATTTTTAGTTTTGTGAGGAACCTAAAGATTGCTAGAGTGGCTGAACTAATTTACATTCCTTTTCCCTTGTATCTTTGCCAACATTTATTGTTTTTTATATTCTCAATGATAGCCATTCTGATTGGGGTGAGATGGAATATAAATGTAGTTTGGATTTGCATTTCCCCAATACATATAATTTCATATAATCATTGGACATTAATATTGAGAAGTGTCTGTTCAGATTGTTTGCTCATATATTGATTGAGGTTATTGTGTGGGTGTGCATGGGGGCGGGGTGGTACTGGGGATTGAACTCAGGGGCATTTTACCACTATGTCACCAGCAATTTTTATTTTTTTGCTAAGTTGCTGTGGCTGGCCTCAAACTTGTGATTATCCTTCCTTACCCTCTGGAGTTGCTGATATTACAGGTATGTGCTGTGGTGCTAGATGAGATAAATTTTAAATTTCTTTGTATGTTTCTAGATTTGTCTCTTCTTAAAATTAGATTAGAGCCATATCATGGTTGATCAATTTTCCTGATTTTTATCTAGAAAAGTTTAGCTTACTTGAGATTATCATTGTTTGATTAATAGTGAAAATACAATTTCAAATATTGAGGGCATACAATGTGTAGTTACTTAACATGTGTAATATAAAGCCTTGCTTCACCCTAAAAAGAACCATGTTAATAAAATAGCATGAATGTATCAATTTTAAGAGGGGAAATAGAGACTTAGAAAGGTATTACAACTGGTTCAATATCACATATTTTATAAGAAGTGGAACATTTTAACTTCCCAGAAACCTGTGAGTTATTTCTCTGTAGCCTATGATTTTACCAGTTATTGAATTAGTACTTTAAAATACTTGTTTTGAGCTGGTACTACATGGGGTATGGAAGTGATGGATGAAGGTAAGGTCTTGATCACTTCTTATTGGAAAATCCGTTTCAAAATCAGAAGTAGTTTTTTAAGCTAATTCAGAGTGCTCAGAGATTACAAAGACCAGAATATGAAGGAAAGCACAATGAGAAGTGGAGACCATTCTAATGACTGGATGAGGTATCTATTAATACCTGTATCTACTTATCTGTCCATTTGTCTCTTTCCACATCTATGATCAATTTTTGCCTCTATTTGCTCATTTAGGTCATTCTTTAATTCACAGGTCATTTTAATTATGAACATTCTGAACTCCTTCTCTGACATTTCATCAACTGTGCTGTCCATGGGTTCTGTTATTGAGGTATTGCAGTTTCTACCCTATAATCTTGTAGTATCCATGCAGATTATCTATATTATCTGTATCTCACCTTGGTGTTGGGCTTCCAGACCCTGCCAGTGTCCCAGGGTGGATGCTACTGCAACTATAGGTGGTGGCAGCGATAGCAGGATGTAACTTGAGATAGCAGTGGAGGTGCCTCAAGATGGATGGAAGGTTTTTCAGACATGGAGCCTAAAGGGTGGGCTTTACACTGGCTTTGGGATGCCTGATCCAAGATGTAGCTGCTTCTAGGCCCTGTCTGATGTCTCAATGTAGAGGCTACTGCATGTGGAGGGCTATAGGGATGGCTGCAGTGTCTCAAGATGGAAGTGGGTTAGATTTGGGCTCCAAGGTGGTGGTGATCATCTCAATAGATGAAGAAAAAAGCATTTGACAAAATATAGCACCTCTTCATGTTCAAAACACTAGAAAAACTAGGGATGACAGGAACATATCTGCACATAGTAAAAGCTATCTATGCTAAGCCCCAGGTCAACATCATTAAATGGAGAAAAATTGAAAGCATTCCCTCTAAAAAACTGGAACAAGACAGGGATGCCCTCTTTCACCACTTCTTGAAACACTGGCCAGAGCAATTAGACAGATGAAAGAAATTAAAGGGATACATATAGGAAAAGAAGAATTCAAATTGGCACTATTTGCTGATGATATGATTCTGTACCTGGAACACCCTAAAAGTTCCACCAGAAAACTTCTAGAACTAGTAAATGAATTCAGCAAAGGATATAAAATCAACACCCACAAATAAAAGACATTTCTGTATGCCAGTGACAAATCTTCTGAAAGGAAAACAAGATAAACTATTCCGTATACAATAGCCTTAGAAGATGGAAAGATCTACCTTGCTCTTGAATAGACAGAATTAATATTGTCAAAATGACATACTATCAAAAGTATTATACAGATTTAATGCAATTCCAATCAAAATCCCAATGGCATTCCTCAAGAAATAGAAAAAGCAGTTGTAAATTCATCTGGAAAAATAAGAAACCCTTAGAAAGAAGATTGAAGCAGGTGGCATCACTATGCCAGACCTTAAACTATACTACAGAGCAATAGTAACAAAAACAGCATGGTATTGGCACCAAAATAGACTTGTGGACCAATGGTACAGAATAGAGGGCACAGAGACTAACCCACATAATTGTAGTTATCTTATATTAGACAAAGGTACCAAAATGTACATTGGAGAAAAGATAGCCTCTTCAACAAACGGTGCTGGGAAAACTGGAAATCCATGTGCAATAAAATGAAATTAAACTCCTATTTTCACCATGAATAAAACAACTCAAAGTGGATCAAGGATCTAGGAATTAGAGACATTGCACCTATTAGAAGAAAAAGTGAGCTCCAATTTCCATCATGTCATATTAGACCCTGACTTCCTTAAAAAGACTTCTATAGTGCAAGAATTAAAATCGAGAATCAATAAAGGGATGGGTTCAAACTAAAAAGCTTTTTGTTTTTTTTAGCAAAAGAAATAATCAGTGAGGTGAATAGCAGCTTACAATCTGGGAAAAAATTTTTACCACACGCATGTCAGATGTAGCACTAATCTCTAGGATATATAAAAAACACAAAAATGTTCACAACAAAAAAACAAATAAACAAGTAAACAAATAAATGGGCCAAGGACCTGAACAGACACTTCTAGAAGAAGATACATAATCAATCAACAAATGTATGAAAAAATGTTCAACAACTCTAGCAGTTAGAGAAATGCAAACTCTAAGATTTCATCTCACACCAGTCAGAATGGCAGCTTTAAGAATACAAACAATAATTGTTGGCGAGGATGTGGGGAAAAAGTACACTCAGAATTTGCTGGTGGGATTGCAAACTGGTGCAGCCAATATGGAAAGCAGCATGGGGATTCCTTGGAAATCTGGGATTGGAACCACCATTTGACCCAGCTATCCCTCTCCCCGGACTATACCCAAGGTACTTAAAAACAGCATACTACAGGGGCACAGCCACATCAATATTTATTGAAGCACAATTCCCAATAGCTAAACTGTGGAACCAACCTAGGTGCCCTTCAGTAGATGAATGGAAAAAGAAAATGTGATATATACACACACACACACACACACATACACACATATACATATATACATACACACATACACACATACACACACACACACGATAAAATGTTATTCAGCATTAAATGAGAATGAAATCATGGCATTTGCAGGTGAATAGATGGAGTTGGAGAATATAATGCTAAGTGAAGTTTGCCAATCTCCAAACACCAAATGCTGAATATTTTCTCTGAGTTAAGGATGCTGATTCATAATGTGGTTGGGGTGGGCATGGGAGGTTTAAATGAGCTTTACATAGGGCAAAGGGGAGGGAGGGAAAGAGAAGGGGAATGGGGGTAGGAAAGATGGTGGAATGAGATGGACATCTTTACCCTGAGTACATGTATGAAGACACGAATGGTGTGACTCTACTCTGTGTACAACCAGAGATATGAAAAATTGTGCTGTATATGTGTAATATGAAATGTAATGCATTCTGTTGTCATATATAACAAATTAAAATTTAAAAATAAAAAAGAATTCCTACTTCAAACAAAATAAAAGGATTGATATTCAGTTAAAAAAATAGCATCCCTTTGTATTAGTTCTACCTGGCTTCCCCAGTTTTTCATGAGGCAGTTGAATCATTCTGAGGCCTTTAGTCTTGGCAAGTGTCCCAGAGTCCCCTCAACTGTCCTGTATCAGAGTAGCATCTGTGCCCCAGCTGCAGGTTTGAGAACAACCCACAGAGGCCTAGAGATCACTGTGCCTCTCCTCCACAGAAGTAGGTGCCCGAGTGGCTGGGCTGAGCAGCTGTGATGCTCAGGGAGCTTTGCTGCATTTTTGCATCCAACTTGGCAGTTAATTTTTCATGGCTTTTCTCTTCTCCGCCTTTACGAAATAGCATCAAGAAGATGAACTCTCCATCATAGTTCTGCCTATACCAGTGTAAGGCATATAAAGACTGTGATGAATTGCAATTTATGGTGAGATTCTCTCCCTCTTGGATGCTCAGAGACCGAGGACTCTGCAGCAGTACTTGGCTACTGACCCCTGTTCAACAAGACAATATAAAGAAAGCACAGGAGACCCTCAGGAGGTCTGCATGGTCATAGTCAGGATGGCGACTCCCTCCCCCTCCCCACGTTCCCCAATCAGCAGCACCATCACATCAACAGGGAATATTATTCAGTTTTTTCAACATCTATCTGACTCTCAAAAGGCTCTTCCAGGACAGAAGATGACTTAGTGCCTGCCCTCAGGAAGCCTTCATCATCTCACAGTTCTTCCACAGGAAACCCATACTCACAGGCTGCCTGCAAGCCCAGTATCCCTACAAGTGCTTGCAGGAGAGTCTCCATCCCTGTCTCTTCAATAAACAGCCAAATAAGATTTCTATGAACAGGCTTCCCCAGCAGAGTTACTCCAGCTCCTTGGGGAGGGAGACTTCACCAATCAGGGACCATACCTGGTTCCTGTTTGTCAGCATCACAGGAACCTTAACTCAAATACTTTTAAACACTGCCACCCTTTGACTAAACTGAGAAATGTGCAGTAACAGGTGACTTCTGGAGTGAATTTATACATGAGATACATTTGTAAATTGCAATTAAGGTTTCCATTTTTCATGAAAATAGAAAATATCCTCTCACTCCTTACATGCTTGAGAAAGTTTCCCCTTTATAATTAAGAGAAATCAAGGAATTCTGTTATTTGTAGAACAGAGTAATTGTTTTTCACTTGGCTTTGTTTACTTTTGGTTTCAACCTTTTGAAAACTATTAAAGCATACTTTTTTATAATATAAATTTCAAATTTTACCTGAAAATTATTATTTTTTTATTATTGGTTTTATTTTTTAAATACATGACAGCAGAATGCATCACAATTCTTATTACACATATAGAACAGATTTTCATGCCTCTGTATATAAAGTATGCTCATATCAATTCATGTCCTCATACATGTACTTTGGATAATGATGTCCATCACATTCCACCATCCTTGTTAATCCCCTGCCCCCTCCCTTTCCCTCCCACCCCTCTTCCCTATCTACTTGACATCTAATAAATTGCATATATTTAAGAGGTATAATTTGACAATTTCTGGTGTGGGATACAAATATGAAATCATTGTCACAATCTAGAAAATGAATATTTGTACCATTCCAAAATTCCCTTGTGGCCCTGGTCCTTTGTGCTCTGTTCTAATTCCTCCTGTATACCTTCCTACCATACCCTCCCAACCCTATTCATCCCCAGGCAATCTCTGATCTGCCTTCTTTTAATATAGAGTATTTTAAATTTTCATCATATCTAGTTGCTTTCAGCATATTTGAATCTGTATTAGTGAACATTGGCTGCTATAACATAATACCATAGACCAGGTGGCTTAAACAGTAGACATTGTTTCTCAGAGTTCTGGGGACAGGGAAGTCCAAAAATCAAGACTTCAGTCAATTTGGTTTCTGAGGGAAGAGTTCTCTTCCTGGTTTAAAGAGGTCATAGTACTAGGGATTAACTCGGAATCAGAGACATGACAGGCAAGTACTCTAGAAGGCCACATCACCCAGCCTCAGAAGGCCACCTTCTTGTTGCATCCTTACAGGATGAAAAGATTGAGCAGCCTCTCTGGTGTCTTTTCTTTTATGAGCACCATTTCTATAATGAGGGTCCCACCCTGATAGCCTCACCTAATCTTAGCTACCACCCAAAGGCCTTATCTCCAATATCACTATGTTCGAGGTTAGGGTGTCAACATTGGAGTTTGGAGTAACACAAATATTCAGTTTGTAACTGATCCTCTGTATTGTTCTTGTGGATGGTTCATTCCTTTTAAATGCTCAGTAGTATTCCATTGTGTAGATTCATCTGCTGGTGGACATTTGGGTTATTTATAACTGATATTTTCCAAGCTGCTGTATGAATATTCATATATAAGTGTTACATGGACATGAATTTTAATTTTGGGGGGGGGTTTAATACTTGGGAATGGAACTGCTGAGTTTACTAATAGATGCATATATAGCATTTTAAGAAACAGAGGAACTATTTTCTGCTGAGAGTTTCAGTGGCTCTGAAAATTCACCGATGCTTGGTATGTTCAGTCATTTTTATTTTAACCTTTCTAGTAGGTATGTATTATGACTGATGATGCTGAGTGTCTTTCATGTGCTTATTTACCATACATAGGTCTTTTGGGAAGTTTCTATTCAAATAGCTCTGGATTGTCAAATCTTCATGCATCTAAGAGTTAGGTTCACAAATGTCCCAGAATTCTTCTCCTTGGCTTTACCCCATACTTGAGTATTTTTATATATGTTGCACAGGAGAAGAGAAATGTGGCTAGTATCTATTTATGAGCTATTCAGAACCATAAGGCTAAAGATAAATTGTCCCCTTCTGTAGCCCCTAAGCTTAATGAACCTAGAACTCCTCATAGCCTGTGAGTAGGGGTATGGCCAGCCTCTCACATTGTGCTCAGACCTAGTAAAGAAGGACACCGGCGTAAATTCTTTCAAGTACTTTGGAAGAAGTGGAGGCAGCAGATACCACTCTTTTGTCTTTAGCCACAAAAGCCATCATTTCTTAGACTATTTTCCTAAAGTTGAGATAAGAATAAGTCCAGTTACCAACCTCATAGTTTAAAAGCAAACTGAAGTTTGGGGTCTGTGTGTCTGAGCCTGGTTGGGGAAGATCCCAGGCTACAAAACAGTAAGTAGCCCCTAGCACAGCCAGACCACTGCCTTCCCTGTGGGTGTTCCCCAGCCAAGAATGTTCTACAGACAGAACAGCCTTTGGTTAGGTCTTTCTTCATCTCCAGGTTTAAATATACATTTTAAAAGAGAATAAGAATGTCTTCTCTTTGTATAGCCATAATTCAGAAGATTCGATTGAACTTCTTTTCAAAGTTTAAACTCAAGTAGGCTGTGTGAATGAATAAAACCATGTAGATTGCTCAGCCCTTATTTACACTAAGTGGAAAAAATTGGTGGTTTGGGACTCCACAGAGCTGGTAGGAAATGCCCTTTATTCTGAGAAATCATGTTGAGCCTTGTACTGTAAGGGAAGAAGAGACATTCAATCTTATGTAATACAAGTTACATCTTAGAGGCAATAATATAGCTTTTAACGTTAAGAGTAAAAAATTTATTTTTCATTTAAAAATTACTACAAGCTAAGTTAAAAACAAATGACATTGTGGGAGAAAATATTTACAACATTTAGAACAAAAATTCTTTCATACTTGTATAACATTGCATTACTCAGGGTGACTGAGAAAGATGAAGTGAGGAATAGGCTGAGAGCCACGTGGCCTGGGGCTCTGGTCCCCCACACTGGCTCCTGGAATGTAGTGAAAACTTGAGCATCTTCCAGATGGATGTGGCTGTGCACCCGTGGTCCTGAGTCAGGCACCAACGACTTTGTAAGCTCTTCTCCAACCCGTACTTTCTCATCTCCAGCCTGTACCTTAGGAGTGGACAGTACTGAGGACTCTAGGAGAAAAGAAGAGAAAGGAGAGATGGAAAGAAAAGATTTGAAGAATGAAATGCCATTTGACAAGAGAGCTAGAAGTAAACATGAAAGGCATTCTCTGCTTATCCTTTAAAATGGTTACTACACAAATGGGAAGGAAGGGCTGGCGGAGTAACTCAGAGGTAGAACACTTGTCTAGCATGTATCAGGCCTCAGGTTTGATCCCTAACACCCAGACAGAAAAAGATAAATAAAAATGAAAAGTAAAGGAAATGGAAGGAATAAAGTTAAAATTACTTATCCTTTTCTCCTGTAATAACTAAGCTTGCAGATTCACTCTAGAAATAGATACTTGACCGTTTACAATTGAACTCTATTAATCACCTTCCTCTCTCATTTCTTATCTATTTGCCAAACTGATTATTGAACCCAGGGTCTGTGGCATGTGTCTATCACTACATCCCCAAACCAAGTAAAAAGCTTTTTTTTTTTTTTTGATGGGGCCTACTGTGTTGCCTATGCTGGTCTCAAACTCACAGACTCAAGTGATCCTCTTGCCTCAGTTCCCCCAGCAGCTAGGACTGCAGGTGTGCACCACCACACCCAGCTCGCCTCTCTTTTCTTTCCACGTGGGACTAAGTTATTTGCGTTGCATTTGGAAAGCGGCTTACCTATGTCTTTGAAGCTGTGCACACACTCAAGAAGAGACACTAAAGTACAAGATGACAAAAGGGATGAATGTAAGCTCTTTGTACAACTCAATGTCAACATTTCCCTCACCCTGGAAGGGGCTTGTGTTTATAGCTATGACAGCCCCCTCTGGTGACAGTCTACAAGAACTCCTTTACTTAGAATTAGGAACAAAGTCTGTTCACCGTCTTTCAAGGTTTACACTTCAGGTCTAAAGACAGATTTTGTTCTTGTTGTTTTTAAAGATAGATTCTATTTTTTATATGCTGTGGCAAAGCTCTGCATACTGCAATACTTTAAGAAAGACTGAATTATTGTCAGTCCCTTTGTGAATTTAAAATGATTTCTGTGACATTTTCTTGATTTTTAATTCATTTTACTTTCCATGGTATCTTGTTCTTGTGCTTGAAGGCAGATCCAAGCCCACATTATTTATTGTGAAGCATAGTATTTGGCATAGATTAAGCACATAATAATAATGCAGGTGAATGCATTAATTTGTACTTACTCATCCCATTAGTGGGAGAAGGTATGTGGAATAACTATTGAAATTATTCCAAATAAAAGCTTCTAATTTTATGGAAGATAAGATTTAATAAAAGTATCCAACAGTAGCTGGACGCGGTGGTGCATGCCTGTAATCCAAGTGGCTCAGGAAGCTGAGGCTGAGGTAGGAGGATTGCGAGTTCATAAGCCAGCCTTAGCAAAAGCGAGGTGCTTAGCAACTCAGTGAGATCTGTTTTTAAATAAAATACAAAATTGGGCTGTGGATGTGGTTCAGTAGTTGAGTGCCCCTGAGTTCAATCCCTGGTACCAAAAAAAAAAAAAAGTATCCAATGGTAAAAGTAAATGCAATATTAAAACCAGGGGAAAATTCAATAGCACACAAGCCTTCACTCCCCCAAACACACACAAAGAAAGGAAGGAAGGAATGAAGGAGGGAAGGAAAAAAGAAAGAGAAGGAAAGAGAAATTTACAAATCTAGAATCGAGAAAGTCTGGCTATGAGATTATGGTAGTACATGACATGATTGTCATAATTGCAATTAATTTAATAATGATTCTCTGTGCAAGTACTATGTGCCAGATTATAAAATGATGATAGTAATTTAGTGTTTGTATACATGTAAAAAATGAAAAATATTGGGATTGCTAAAGGAAATTTAAAATGTAAGGGTCATTATGTTATCTGGTTATATTATGCAAGGCAGATCAACATTAGAAATTTTAATATAGTGTTTATTACTGCAGTATTC